TATATATAAGTAATATAATATTTTTATACTTAAAAATATATATTATAGAATTCTATGAAGAAGAGAGATTCAAACCGTGCCAGTTTAAGTGCTGAGGATGACATTGCAAGAAAGAGACAACGGACAGAACAAGGAGAACAAGAGTTTCCGTGATTTCCAAACTCTCAATATCAGTTCTTTGACAAGTTTTCAAAATGGACGTTGATTACTTTGTTTTAAATCTACAGAAGGAAGTGCTCCAAAAAGTATTACAGAGTGTCAAAATGAGTGATGAAATGTATTATGGAAGAAGAGATTGACAAGTGAATGATGAATGAATATATAAATAGTTATCTTGTGTGTAAAATTCTTTATTTCATTATTATTATTATTATTGTTTATTTTAAAATATTTTTCACAAACATGAAGAAAGATATTCTTTTCAGGGAGTATATGAAAAAAAGAATATCAAAATGGAAAATAAATTTTAATCAATTTGTTAGTTTGAGGGATTGTGCAGATATGCACAACATGCTTCCAATTGATTATAAACAATTTTTTTTTTAATTCTGTCATTTATTTTATTAAACAAATATTCTTTAATAGAAGAAGAAAAATCTAAAAATTCTCTAATAAGCCTGTAACATTTAGAAATTCTGTGTGCAAATTAATAATAATAATACTACAATCATGTTAAATTTCTGTTGTAGTAAAGTAATAACTCTACTATCTGCTGTCTATCAGAAAATATCCAGTGACCTGCTAACCATTAAAAGCTTTTGTCGTGTAGCCCATCAGCATGTCATTTCACATTCCATCGAGTAAATAAAATAATGAAATAATTTGTTCTCGTATGATTTTTGTATATCTTGATAAAATGGCTGAATTATTGAAAATTTTATAGTTAAAATTCTTTTGCTTAAATTTGGTGATGCAATTTTTAAGTCATAATATAAATGAAATGTTATGAGAAAATGTTTTAAAATAAAAACTGTATAAGTTGTCATCTATATACATATACTGATTACAAAAACGTTTTATCAAGAAAGGCCAATATTTGTAAATATAAATATAAAAAATTTCATAAAGCAATAAATCTCGAAAGAAGATTGTGTGGTAGTCTCTAAATTGAACTCCCACAGTAAATGCATTCTCCATGATTTGATCTTAAAATTGTCTCTACAGTAACACTTTTACATCTTGTATACATTTTTAAATGAAAAATATATAGTAGATTCAGTATCTAAAACAGAATAGTAAGTTGTCATCCCTCGTAGGTTCAGAAAATAACCAGCTGAATTAGTTTCTTTGAACGTAGATTCACAATTTGTGCATTGTAGTAGAAGTTATATTCTTATTACAGTGATATTGATTGGGAATTTCTTTTCCAGAATTAATATTTATAATGCACTTGACATGGAATAAAATGTCTCCAAATTTTTCTTTATTCTAAATATTTAGGAATTACAGAAGGCAGTTCTTAATCTAAATTTTCTTACCTGTNCGCGTTTGTTTTACACTTCGAGAAAGTTTTTGTCTCATCTGGGCTTTGTCACTAACACATTCCCTTGACCTGATTCTATCCTCGAAACTTTCTGCCATTAAAGTTTGTAATTAGTCGAAATTTCTACGCGCTTTTACGACCCTCACAATACTAAAAGTTAATTTATTGCGGTCTATTAGCAGAGTGTCGTTGCGTAGTTTAACTGATTGGTTTTGTTTTCTTAATTCATAATATATTGGCAATAAATGTTTTCTTCTTTTACATGTTTCTTTAGTAAGATCAGGTGCTATCTGTATATTACCCCAGTCTTCCATTAATTTATGTTGTTTCTTTGATATGAAAGTATTATACATTTGATCACGAGTCTGTTTTTGTACTAAATGATAGTTTTATAATCTGGTTGGTTGGTTTGGTTATTTGAATTATATCTAGGATATCATATTGAGTTACATTATTTAGGTTTAATGTTAAGTTAATAAATTTAAGAATTTCTGGTTTGGAAATGCTTTTTGACAAAGGATAGTTGTATAATACTATATTATTATAATGACAGTCATTAATTACAGTATCCATTTTATACTGTATCAGTTCCTTTTCAGATTTTAAATTGTCAATTTGAATTTTTAAATTATCTATTGAACTTTCCATTTTTTCAAATTGAATTTTATTTTCCCGTATTGTACCGTGAATTAAATTCAGTTCTTCTTTTATATATTCCATTTGTGTAGATAGTTTATCATTAGAATCAGTTAATATTAATCAGTTCAGATATCCTATTCCATAAATCTGCTGTTAAAGTGTCATTCGAACTTATTGGAGTAGATGAATTAATTATATTGGACTCACCTGGAGAGCTTTGTAGATTTTGTTTAGATATATCCGAATGTGGACTATTATTTGCCATAGACAATTCCTGTAATTCTTTATCCATTGATAAATTGTAGTCCGTAATGAGCTTGNATAAAATATAAAATTAACAATAATTAGCTAAATTTCATAAAATGTATTTTAAATTAATTTTTAACAAAAAATATTTTTTTGGATTACTCAGTTTTTGATATGTACAGTTATAATTTCTATTTAAAAAGTTGAGAGGCTGGCAAAACTGCATATCCTCAAAACTTCAAAAAACAAGTTACTAACAAATTTGGATTTGTGCATCATCAATCCATCATCTAAGAAACTTTCATGGTTCAGTTACATGCCCTATGAGTTTTATAACCACATTAATAAAGTGCTGTACATTGGAAATGACATGTTTAAAATTCATCAGCATTTTATTTTCTTGAAAAATTCCTAATGTGGAATATGCCATTTTTCTACCCAGCCCCTCAATTGTCCATAGATGAAAAATATGACAGTCCTCAAATTAATGCTTCATTTTATATTTTTTAAATGTCCTTTGGATCACTTTTGCAGCATTTTCTTGCTTTTTTCTTTCCCAGGTATTTGAAATAATTTCAGTTTGACTACGAGTGGGAAAAGTTTTTCGAAATCTCTGATCTATTTGCTCTTGCAACGTTTTAAATTCATCTGTTTCTTCCACGTCACCTAAAACTCGTTTTGTCAAGGCATGAAGAATATCCAAGCAATGTACTTGGTCCCCTTTTGATAATGGTAATTTCATTAGAACAATTGCAATATTGTTTGGTTTTGGTATTCCTAAAGGTGGGTCCAAATCTGCTACAAAATCTGAAAGCTGGATTAAACTGATAAATTGGATAGCGTGAGGATCATACCGGGACCAAGTGATATAAAATGACTCAATGTCTTCTTCAGTGATGCCCATTTCTTCTTGATTTGCTTGATTCAAATTTTCTAAAATTATTGCTATATAAGTGTTTATTATTATCATGTAGTTAATAATAATATAACTGACCAGATACAAAACGGCAACAAATGAATAACCACAGTTACCATTAGGTAGATTATTATAATTAGGATCGCAATCTGGTGGCTGGACTGTCAGTGGCTCTAAAATGTCGTTCCATCCAGCAGATGTTGCAAGGCGAAACAAAAGTGCCATGCTGTGAGCAAAGGTTTCAAAATTTATTGTGTCTGTAATGTTGTTATCATGTTTGACGTGGGCAAATAATGACATGCCTATAATTGAATAAATAAAAGTAACAAGAAAAAGTAAGGCCCCAATATTGAAAAGAGCAGGAAGTGATACAATTAATGCAAACAGTAATTTTCGAATGCCTTTGGCTGCTTTAATGAGTCTAAGTATCCTTCCAATTCGAACCAAGCGAATTACTCTTAATAAAGTTGGGCTAATGATGAATTTTTGTAATGCTTCTTCAAAGATAACACCTGAAAAAATTTATTTTAATATTAAAACTTTATTTTGCTCAATTCAAGAAATTTAAAATATATATTAGAAAATCTATTATAAAAATATTTAGCACTTTTTTGAATTAATCCATCTAGAAAAATTCTTATGAAAAAATTTTGAAAATAGTATCAAATGAGAATATAATATAGACTAATAATAATTGTGTGACATTAAAAATTACCTATTTGTTTTATTATTGTTAAAATGTGATCTTTGTGCCATTTATTTACATATTTCTTGATTTGTACAATTAAATCCAAAATACTCTAAATTGGCCACACAGCCATGCATCAAAATGTTAGCTTACTATTTATGCTGAGATTCAGTTTGAATCTAATCTGGATGAGGCTCAGTTCCTTTGGTTAAGAAAAGGATCTGGATGTGAGGGTGCAGACTAGTATACTTCCAATACTGGCACAGAAGAGGGAGGAAATGCTCAGGGATGGAAATACCGGAATGAATTCAGAAGACAACAGGAATCACTGGATGAAGACGACCCCATGTCCTTGAGAATACTGATTTTTATACAATTTGTTTCCAAATTTAGATTTCTGATTGGTCCCAAGTTGTTGCTAGGGGCACAATTTGGGTTGTGAAGTGATGACCAACTCTTTCTATCCTGATGCATTTTTTGCTCCCCCCAACAGATTGGTTATGTTTCTTTGAATGATTGCTTCATAAATTACAGAAAATGTTTTTTTTTTCCTTTCCCTTCCAGAGAGGATGCAGCTGGATCCACATAGTCCTCAGTCACACCCTCCTCCAAGGAAGTGTTTGCTTTTTTTGATTTTGACTTGGTATTAGGTCACCACAAAACCTTTATCAGTGTCACTCCCTCTCTCTCCATGTGATCTATAACTGGGAATGTGACAATTCAATTTTACAGCTTCAATAAACAGATGATACCTTCTTTGTATGGATGTTAGTTTGGCAGTCTGTCTCCTGTCTTGTTGGGTAAGGTCCTGACCTTACAAGACTCCCTTCTTTCTTTAAAAATGGTGCTTATTCATAAAGTGTCATTTTAGCTGGTGACTCTGAAGCTGCCAGTTCATGTGTCATTCTCTTGGATAAACAAATTTCCATGCACACCATCGAGAGAAGAGACAAGGATGCATCCATAAGATGCACATTTTTTTGACATTACTGGAGATAATATAGAAAATGATTTTTGTACTCCAAATATGATACATATCCATAACTGAATTTGCACTTATTTAAATTGACCATAATGAAAAACATGAAACATCATGATTATGCTGATCATATCCAGTTTTGATGGGAAATATAAGCGAAGGAAAAATTTCAAATATACATGGATGATTTGTATGTTGAGCATTGCATCATTATTAATGATGCAACGAATATTCGGTATTTGGCCGAATACCTAAAAATAGGAGTAAGAAATACCAAAATGATTAATTTACTGTTTTTTTTGTTAACTTTTATTAATGCTGAACATACATTTCAAGTTTGAGAAAGTGCAATTTTTTGCTTATGTAAAAGATCAAAGGAAAAGTAATATAATTAAGTTATTTTTTTAAGAGATCAAAAAGAGGTATAAATTATACTTAATATGAGATGGCACTTAACATCTACCTCTAGTGCCAAATTGGTTTATAATTTATGTCAGTGTTCCGCAACCTTTTTCTACTTGCGGCACACCCATGACTTCAACACGGCACACCAAAATGTTATTCCCCTCAAAAACGTATGATATACTATTAATAGAATTACGTAATGCCACTAACCTGTTATTATTGTTACTAAACAGACATCAACACCTGTGAGCAAATTTTTTTTACATATAATTTCTTAGAATACATAAAAATGCGTGGCTTGTAATAAAGAATAAACAAACATAATCTTATTTCATGAGTACTGCGGCAGAGAATGAAATACAAGCATAAGAAACACAACAACTGTGATAAAAATANTCTTCTCCATCAAAAGTTCCTGGTGACACATCCCTGACTAACTTGATCCGACTCAACAAGGAACAAACTCCGTGGGAAATAATTTTTATGGCTTTTAGCCTAACTCGATAAAACGTTCGAATTTAACCGATTAAATTTTCCAATAATACTTTATTGTGGGTCTGTTCGTCCCTCACATCACCCCGGCCTTTCCAAAATCGGGCTTGTTCTGAGTGAGCAAGATCGATTTTAATGAGTTGAAGTTCCGATGGAAGGTACAGGACGTAGGGTATTTCCTTGAGGTTCTTGCGATTTTCGATGAAATATGACTTGAAAATGATAAGGACCCGTTTTGTGGATACATAATATTAAAGAATATCTCTCTCTCTCTGATAATACTAACATGAATTATTTCCGACATTGATATGATTATTTTTATGATATGGTTATCATTCTAATTAATTATTTCCGACAATATGATTTTTTCGCGATACACAGAGGTTTAATGGATTTATAATCTACTCTCTCTCTCTCTCTCTCTTGAGGTGGTTACGTGGTGAATTTGAGGAGGGTAGGGTTGGTTGAGAGGGTTGGGGAGAGTTCGTCTTCGGCTAGATTCTGGATAAAAGAGGGAAGGGCGATTAACAATCCTATTGAGCTTATCCAGAATTTAATGTTAGGATTAGTTATTAGTCAAAGGTAAACGTTTTTTTTTCTTGTTCTTTTTACTCTCCCTTGTTAATTGTGTCTGTTGTCTTAATTAACTCTGTCTTGTTACTTTTGATTGACCGCTATTTCCTTCCTTTGGCGGACTAGCCTTTCGTTTGGGAATTCGACTGCGTCTAGGCGTCGGGAGAATCCAGGGATGTTCTTCCACTGGTCCCTGACTGCGTAATGCATAAGAATGAGAGGAAGTAGGTTCTCTTGGTTCTTCTCTAGGGGTAGATTCTATTATTCTTTCTTCACTTTCGGAATCGTCTTCCTCTGATTCTAGATCCGTTTCTGGTTGTGGTTGAATTTCGGTGAGGATAAATTCGTCCCAGGGGTCTGCACTTAGGGAAGGTTGGCGGGATAATACCTTAGGTTGTGTGGATGCTGGGGTAAGAGATTGGTCTAAACTTTCTGACCTTTCGAATTCTTGTCTAGCGGTGCAATGTTTCAATCTATTAGCATGAACTTGGAGTTGTTTCTTCGTTTGAATATTTTCAATAAGGAATGTGACAGGACTTAATTTGGATATGATACGAAATGGGCCGGACCATCGGGGTGCTAATTTCCTTTTTAACCCTTGAGGTAGGACAACCTCATTAAGGAAGACTCGATCTCCTACCTGATATGTAGGAATTTTATGAGTTCGGCGATGTATTTTTTGACGTTCTCTGGCTGCTGCTTCAGCATATTCTTGTGCTAATTGATGGGCACTGGCCATTCGAAGGTGGAGTTCCGATGCGAAGTTATCTTCTACATCGTATTTAGTTCTGGTCGGACGGGTGATAAGGTCAAAGGGGTAAATTGGATCTCGTCCATACAACAGAAAGAATGGACTGTCATTCGTAGAAGCGTGGACGGTAGTGTTATATGCAAATAAGGCGTAGGGAATCCATTCATCCCAGTCCTTTTGGTCTTTGGCTACATAGTGTGAGATAATATCAACAAGGGTCTTATTGAATCTTTCAACTATCCCATTGCATGCAGGGTGATAAGCTGTTGTAAGAAGTCGCTTAATATGAAGCAATTCGCATACTTCCTTGAACATCTTGGA